TTCCGGCAACTATTTTTCCGCGGATTGTCCCTATGGAGAATACATTTTCAGAATTCCACAGATGAGGAACTTCATGAGGTATCGTGGGGTTTCACCCGAAATGAGGGAGGATGTCTCGTGGACTGCGTCAACCTGAAGCTCGTAGTAAAGCCAAACGTCTACAGTACAACAGGAATTAGATGCCGTCATCTGGTGAGATCGGCCAGCGAGACCCTTCAACGTTCACTTTAATACGAAATCGAAGCCTCCACAACGAGGTCTACTTTTGCCTACTCTTCATTGGCATCTCATACAGCTCGGACTTTCAATAGAACATTGAGGTCTGATTAGTCCCTCTTAAATTCGAAACAATAAATAGTAATAATTTTCACATAATTATGAACAAAGCTTAATATCTGGTCCCTAATCCACGACGACTTTCTCCACATTCAAGTTGGTCTAAAATGAGATTAAGACTACGAGTAGAAAAGGCCTAGACCCATCGACATTCTATTGTTACTCTGGAATTTAATGTGAATCTTTTTTCGGCCAGACTCTTTCCACATCTCTGCTTAACAGCAATCAGATATCTAAATGCAGCCTTTATGGTGTACGGTGTTAGCAAATGGACCCACAGCTAGACACACGGACCGTTGTATACATTTGAATAGTAAGCCAATAGTACCTTTGGAATTTCATCGCTGACTGTAAAAGATGAAATTAATCGGAAAATCGCGCATGTGCTATGCCAACAACAGTATCCTTTCTAGGTCGCATACGTTAAGGAAGGATTTATGGTTGAATTTTTCCGAGCTTAATCAAGATTTTCTGGTTTTGAAGCCTACTTGAAATGAAGTTTTGATATTTTAATTTTTCCCACACGAACCCATCGTAATATCTACTCAAATATGATGGGAAAATTCAACAACTAAAACTTGAGTTTGATAAGTTTCGAAACTACTAGTAGATCTCGATTGGGATCGTGAGGCCTACTCATGTCCTACATCGCGTCATGTTACCTAGGGTGAATACAGCTCTTATGCAAGATCTACTATTATTTCGAAACTACCCAATCTAAATATGGGCTAAACCAATCTTAAGGGGTTACTTGTTCGAGTATCCTTATTGATAGACGCAGTAGCAACTTTTGTTTGCGAGCCATCCAAAGGCTGATAGTTGTCAAGGTATACCATTTATGACTGGTCACTTCCTGGAATAATAGCCAAAGCCCCGGTCTCATCAACACCCCTGAATGGATTCGATTCGTGGTCTTGCCGGTTATTGAGCCTAAACATTGGCACCGCGTTGTACGACAAACACGACTTTAAAGGCAAACCTCGAGCATTTTATGTACTTTTGTGGAGAGATGAAAACGGCCTTTTGTGATGCGTTACCAAGTAAAATTGATTGTAAACTTTAAGCATTCTCTGCAATTCCTCATGGAAAGGCTTCTTGTCAATCCGATAGGAAATCAGAAGAAACTGGAACACCTTGACAAATTACGTGGTTTGACCACCCTTTCACATCTTGGTCGTGTTGTCAGGGTGACATAGGTGAATGCACCTTTTCCTAATTCCTCTGCTATACTATTCCTCATAATTCCCATCTTCGGATCGTGGACTTGGTACATATCCATGCGATTAAAATTACCATAACTACTAAAGCAGAATAATTCGGACAGGGTACGTTCATCTAGATTGCCCTGACAGCACGACCGAGTTGTAAAAACGAGGTAAAACTCTTCTATACTTCGAATGGAGACTGTAACCAAAACAAAGACCCCAACACCTTGGTTTTCCTATCCTAAATGAAGCCTGATAGGGCATTATTCAGTCAAGCAAGGTCCAGTTCCGCAAGGCAAGTCGGAATGGATTCTTGGCGATGCATATGGCCCCAGTGCGCTCGGGTCGTGGGAGGACTCCTAATGAAGGATGGGCGTGACGAGGATAGAAGAGTTAACCGGAGTAACTTCAGGTGGGCAGAGGCAAAAGTGTATTTCGATAGACAGTTTTGTCCCAAACGATTTTTTGTCAACTACTTTCAACATGGAATTTAGGCCAGAGGCCGTTTGAGGAGACGAAACTACGAGGTTCTGTCATTCGAACACCATCAACATCATGTTCAGCGTTGTCTCGGACACAAGCATTTGAAGTGAGTCAGCCTATAGATTCGGCCACTTTGCATGTCTGGCTTAACCTCATCTGCTGGCAGGGGACCGAAGTGGGGCAACCGCTGTCACAGATTGCTGCAGACTCACGAGTAGAGTCCACTTGATGGGAGAACGCGGTGAACGTGGGCAAAACTAAAAAGACACTAAAATATGTTTTTTTGATTAGACCTTCATCACTCTTCGCAGAGCTTTGGCAGAGGCACGTGTTCACCTCTTGTCTATGGGATAACTTGTCTGTATCCCGGTAGGGCTGGGCGCTTGTCTATGACGGCCCAACTGACAACACCCATTCAGGTGATAACCCACGAGGCTCGTGCATTGCGTGAGATGCCTCGAGGAAACCAAGGCAGCCGGCCGCCTCCAGCAATCGGGCAAAAAGGAAGCTGAAAAGAATCGGGCCCATAACTTGCTCCGTCTTCAGTCGCAGGAGAGGCCGCGGGTGCGCATATATGTCCGTGTAGGTGTGCGCATGCTTTTATTCATGTCTGTATCAGGAGATTGTGTGTATATGCAGGCCTTTGTGGACATGTGTGCATAGCAATGTGTGTGATTGTAGTAAAAGACAAAAAAGACTTATCCAACAAGGCTGGCCACACGAAAAGCGAATGGCTATTTATCCGTTTGCCTGATTGAGCAGCCCGTGTCTGTACTACGGTATGTATGCGTAAGTGTATATGTATGTGTGTACGTGTGCAGAAATGTACACAATTGGCCTTGCTCGTGCATCCTGGCGGGCTGATCTGGGCAAACATGCCAAAGGTGAGCGAATTGCATAGGCAATGAATATTTTATAACTAACTGTATTTCACATCTTGTCATCTCCCCTCAATACAACTACACATGAACTAGCGCTCATGCACACAAAGATAGAATTGCCATCATGTCTGTCCCAGTTTCATACCCCCTCTCCTGTACTCACCAGATTGTACTCACGCAAGAGTGCATGCCCTCACTATTACCCTCTCATCTTCTCATTTTGCTTCAATTTGAGCCCTTACTTCATCTCAATCTCCCCACCTGGCCGGTCCCGATTCTCCAGCCTCAGTTGTCGCCGCTACCAAGTGGCCCAAAGCCGACTTCATTTCATGTCGTGTCAGCAATACTAGCCTCCCTCCATCAGATACAAATTCCGTATATGCTGCCAGTATGTTTCGAACTTATCAGAAGATCTTTTATAATAACTAGTGTCCCTTGGTGTCGTTTGAAGTGATGGAAGACCTGGGGATAGAATTATGGTTCATATAAAGGCTCTAAATTTGCAGAAATCCTGATCTAAACTCGTATTCTGTAGGCTCTCTCCCTCTTACCTCAAGATTCAGAATTAACAAGCTATC